AAAGGGAAAATATTGGTCTTAGCGTGATACCATATAGCCTATAGCCTTCCTCGATAAATGGGCTATCTAACACTGAAATAATTTTTCAAATCGGACCAGTAGTTCCTGAGATTAGCTCGTTCAAACAAACAAACTCTTCAACTTTATAATATTAGTATAGATGACGATATAGTATTTTGAAAAGGATAAATTTGAAGTTGTAATTTCGAATGTCTCGTGGCCTAAGAAATAGGAAGCCTGCTTATACACATTCCAAATGTGATGAAATCCTGCTATCAGGTTCAAGTTCTTCTTATGAGATACCTACTTAGCAGTCACGTTTTTCGGTATAGGATTAAACAACTATCCTACTAATATTATAAATGCGATAAATGTACCGAAAATTTCAGGAAAACTGAAAAAAATATCTTAATTCGTTTGAATTTTCCTCCAAATAAATTAGGAAAAAACAAAACTAATAAATAATACTAAATAAAACCGAAAGTAATAAACGAAATGAAATCAAACTATAAATGCAATTCTAGTTATAATGTATCTTTGACCAGCTAAATCCAATCAAAATACTGCATTAGAAGTTCCGTATATGCAATCCTACTAATATTAAGTATAAACGCGAAAGTTTGTAAGAATGTATGGATGTATGTTTATTACTATTGCACGCAAAAACTATTGAACGAATTTTAATAAAACTTTAGAATCATATAGCTGACACAACAGATTTTTTTTCCTACCTATGCTGATAGCCTTGAAAGGCTATTTCAGCTTCGCCCTAACGTTTGCAGATGAGCTCGCGGCGCTCAAACCGGAGAGTTGCTAACACTGACCCTAGCAAGAGCACTGTTTCGCAGAATCTATCACCCGATCGGAAACGCGACCCACTGAGAAGATCCGGCGAGAAACTCGGTAGGCTGTGTCTGTGGGTTAATTCGCTCGTCGAGCCATTCGTCGCAAGCGACGGGTTCGACCAGGACGGTAACCGGTGCTTGAGGTGCCTAAAAGCACCGTTAATGGATCAAACACATCAGAATAACACATAGGCTATAATTTATAAAGATATAGTCTGAATTACCCAAAATATAACGATAAGTGTCAAGTAAGTAGAAAAAAAATGTACCATCTCATTTTCATAATCAATAATGAATTACAGTTCCCCAAAACGAAGCGAGGGCGGGTCGCTAGTTTACTATAAGACTGTGATTTTCCGCTCGTGTAAAAAGGCATTTAGAGGCGTCTAAATGCCTTTTTTTATAACCAGGACCTTAACTTCACAACTGAGAATTCAAACTCAAACAACTGTTTTATATCTAACTCAAGCCGTGTACAGTTATTGGCAGTAAAGTGAAATGATGAAGTTTTTGACGTAAAACTAAAGGTTTTTACTATCGTTGAGACTATCAGACGTGATTTTGATTCTAACAAAATCAGTTTTCTCACCGGGAATTTGAATCGTTCATCATCCAATGTAATCCAATACTGTGGAATGCTTCAATCGAAGACAAAATAAAAATATACTAGATGGCGTTGGCGGTATTATTCACTGCATTCATGGTAAACGTGTTCCAATTAGCAAAAACATAATCCTAAATAGTGTTAAAAACATTGTATATCAGAACACAAAACCACTAATACGAGAATAGGATATTACAAATATTATCTCCAAAAAAATTTTTCTACAACTAATTAGTACAATTATATTGGTAACAGATGGCGCCAGCTGTAGCTTCATACTATTTAATGCTTCATCCATTCTCTTTTGATGTTCACTGTACTTAACTTAGCTCCGATACTCATCGTTAAAGAAAATATGCATTACGGATAACCCTTGGCATTGAATACGCAGTATTCCAATAAAATTAACTTTGAGACGAATTGAATGCCTTAATGTGGACAATCATCTTATGATACTTAAAAGCTCCGGGGAGCTCTTAGCAACAGAACTAGACAATCTTCCACCACACATACCCAATTTAAGATGTGTCTAAAATTTTTATTTTTCCTACCTAATCGTTGGTAGCCTAAAGGCAGGGACGTCTTAAACTAGGATGGGGCCCTTGGGCACACAAGAATTTGAGGCCCTTTTTGAAAGTAAAAAAGCGAATTATAATAACATTTTTTTACTGAGTATGACCATTTATTATAGGTAATTAAATACAGTATCATATAATATGTCATTAATTATATTAGAATGCAGGTTTTTGGTTACGATTTCGATAACGGTTTCTTTCGGGATATCTGTTGAGCAAAATCTTCTATTATAGGCATAGTATATGCCTTGTAAATACCTTCTGATTACTGATCTGTGAAAAAAGTGTAATGTGCCCGACAAAAATGTTTTGAGAATAAGCGTATGAGAGAAACTGTCGGTCTTTCGGGGCCCCCTGAGAATGGGGACACGGGCCCCGTGTACCCTTATGGTAAAGACGGTATTGCCTAAAGGGCTATCCTAACTTCAGGCGGACCGATAGGTGAGCTCACAGGCACACCCTGACAGTATTGCTAGTATTGGCCCTAGCAAAAACAAATTGAAAGCCTCATAGAACGTAGTTAGAACAATTAATTCGTCAAAATGGTTTCCATATACGACAGCGTACGCGTTAAACAAAACTAGAAATGCTAGTCGTTCGACCATTTGGCCGCTTTGAATAGGGTTGCCCGACATTCTGTAACGATGCTCGGAAAACGTGTAGAGCATTTTAATTGTGTAAACGTGCAAGTGACCCTAGCGGTATTCGTGACTTTCGTTCAAGCATTTGTGGGTCTGATACCTGGACGTGATATAAACCAGAGCTATTTAACATTTATTGTCATAGTGAGGCCATCTCACTCGTGGTATCACGACCAGTTGGTGATAAAGCAATTACTGCAACCCTATACTACAACATGAATTCCTCTGCCATTGACATAAATAATAGCCAATTGATATCCCAAGCAATATAAACATAAAAAAGACGTGTGGCACTCGGAGACGGCCGCGGTAAAGCTATTGCATAGCATTTTTTATCAACTTATGCAATTATAAATCGACAATAATAATTTTTTGTGCATTATTACAAAGTTACGTCGTACACTGTGTGCATTATTAATAAAAATCTTACGTTACGGACGTTTTTTCCCGGTTAGGGTACCCCTCCGCATCGTCCCATAAGGAACTTCGTTCCAAAAAATCTTAGTAAAATTTTCATATATAATTAAATTCAACATGAAACTTTGTTGCTGACAGTCCCGAGTCGTAAGGGCCTCGCCACAATCCTGGTTACCTCTGAATTAATTACTACAGGGCTCCCACACATAAGCAATCCCCTTTAGTGAAATACACGTAATATGTATCTAAATTCTCTTAACAATACCTCTAAAGCATTTTCTGTACATTTTCATTAATTTATACTTGTAAAAACAAGAGATGTTACAGTTCAATAACCAATAACAGTTGAACCGTAAATTGCGCAAATGTAATGCCGCAGGCTATGTACGTGTTATGTACGGTATTTCCTTGGAAAAAAAATGTGAGCCGTCACGGGACGCCTGGCAGATGTGAAACATCGACATCGACGACATAGGAACTAAATATGTCATAATGACAAAATAAAACATTACGAAAAAATAATTTGTTTTCAATTAAAACACAGGTTATGTGTACTGTAGTAAACAACACTGTATACACTACGGAGTATATACTATAGGCATCCGAGCTCAGTATAGTGAGAGAGATGGCTTAGCGCCGGATCGAGTGGGAGAGAATCGAACAGTCGATTGCGCATGGTGACGCGTCGCCACGGCATTCGTCGCCACACCAGAAATCGGTTTTACGTGCGGCTATATATGTTTCACATCAAAAGATTTACTTGCCTGCGGGATTTGAAGTGGTATAGTAGTATCTCTTGATAACGAAGACATCAAAACAGATAATAACGTTGTGACACACAAATTAAAACTATTTCCGGGCGTTTTAACTCAAGCTATAGTATATTACTGCTAATGCTTGGATCGCTAATCGCTTGGAGCCTCTGGATCTGCGGAGGGACTTCGGTTCCCTTTGTATTTTGTACCGTATGTTCCATGGGTAGTGCTCTGAGGAATTGTTTGAGATGATACCATCACACCGTCCGCCACCGGAGAGTGAGTTCATCCAGACTACCTGAAGCCACTGCGTTCATCCACAGTGCGCTTCCAGAGATCTTTATCGCCACGTACCATCCGGCTTTGGAATGAGTTCCCCTCTGCGGTGTTTCCCGAGCGCTATGACATATCCTTTTTCAAACGAGGCTTGTGGAGAGTACTTAACGGTAGACAGCGGCTTGGTTCTACCGAGCAATATCAACCGCACGGTGGAAGATCTTCTCTTTGTCATGTATCCCCACATTTAAAGTAATTAGTCTAAAATATTTGTTTGTGCTGTTCTTAATTAAAATCATAGATTCGCGTATGGAAAACTGATCAAATTTATTTGTATTTTTGTTTTTTTTTTCTCTAAATATCTGTAATTTTTTTGGATACTGTGACATTGGCAAAATCAGTGCCAAAGACGTTGGAGTCAAATTAAAAAAAAACTTTTCTGCCCCAGCGGCCATTTGTTCTACAAGCCATATTCCCTCTTCAATCTTGCAATCCTTCGGGCTTATAATATTTAAATTAATTCGTTTAGATGTTTTGTGAGNTGTATTTTTGTTTTTTTTTTCTCTAAATATCTGTAATTTTTTTGGATACTGTGACATTGGCAAAATCAGTGCCAAAGACGTTGGAGTCAAATTAAAAAAAAACTTTTCTGCCCCAGCGGCCATTTGTTCTACAAGCCATATTCCCTCTTCAATCTTGCAATCCTTCGGGCTTATAATATTTAAATTAATTCGTTTAGATGTTTTGTGAGTTTTAGTAGGCAGCGGCTTGGCTCTGCCCCTGGCATTGCTGAAGTCTATGAGCGACGGTAATCACTCACCATCAGGTGGGAAGTATGCTCGTCTGTCTACAAGGGCAATTAAAAAAAAAAGAGTTTCAGTACTTACCTCGTTCACAAAATGCTCCCTCGTAATCGCCGTCTCGGCACTCACAGACCGGTCCGTCGTCGGTGCTGATGCAGACCCCGCCGTGCTGGCAAGGGTCACGTCTCTCGCACGCGTCCCCACTCGCGTTGCCGATACGAGATGACTGAAACAATATTGAAAAAGTTTAAGGGGGGAAAACAAATTTGACAAATGACATCAACAAACTGACAACGACAATGTTTTAAAAGTAATAACGAGGAATTGCTTAGACGAGTGAACGAACTCACAGCGCATCTGGTGTTCATTGATATCATAACAGCGACTCCGTCCGCGTAGAATAGTTAATCTGGCATAACGCTAAATTTTACCACCCACTTCATTTACGTAGAAAATGAAAATATTTTTGAATTATAGAATGTAAGGAGCTATTTTAAACCCTATTTTGAAACATTCTTTATTGGTGCTCCACTTGTATTGGTCTTAGCGTGATGTTATATAGCCTATAGCCTTCCACGATAAATGAGCTAACTAACACTGAAAGAATTTTTCAAATCGAACCAGTAGTTCCTGAGATTAACGCGTTCAAACAAACAAGCTCTTCAGCTTTATAATATTAGTATAGATTAACACCGTTAGCTACCGTGAGACTTAAAATCTATGTGTCAATTGTATAATTGCGCATTTCTTTTTTGCGGAGTCGATTTTATTACTTCATCGTGGAAGAAAGACAATAATGAACACGATTTAAATACACGTATTTCATTAGAAAATTTGATATCTGCCTGCGGGATCTGAACACCGACAACCCACTGAGATTCTCGCCAGATCTTTTTAGGGGGTCGTCAATTCGATTCACTGGTAGCTTTTGCGAAACATTACTCTCGCAAATTCTCTCAAATTGAGCCTATGAGCTGACCTACCTATCCGCCCGGAGCTGGAATAGCCCCTAAGACTACCAACGAATAGGTACGGGGAAAAAAGGACATCGACAGAGTCACTCGATATAAAAACAGTGACTATTATCCTTTAAGCTACGTCGACTTCAAATTGACCGAATTAGTTTATACAGAAGCTTATTAAAATTAGGAATCATTATAGAATGAATTATTTAAAACAGTCTGCACGGTTTGATCCCGCGTTTATTATCAATTCATTTTTAACGTTTCTGATAATTTACAGTTTTTATTTTTATTGCTTAGATGGGTGGACGAGCTCACAGCCCACCTGGTGTTAAGCGGTTACTGGAGCCCATAGACATCTACAATGTAAATGTGCCATCCACCTAGAGATATTTATAAGTTCTAAGGTCTCGAGTATAGTTACAACGGCTGCCCCACCCTTCAAACCGAAACGCATTACTGCTTCACGGCAAAAATAGGTAGGGCGGTGGTACCTACCCGCGCGGACTCACAAGAGGTTCTACCATCAGTAATTACGGAAATTATAATTTTACGGATTTGATTTTTATAACACGATGTTATTCCTTCACCGTGGAAGTCAATCGTGAAAATTTGTTGAGTACGTATTTCATTACAAAAATTGGTACCCGCTTGGGATTCGAACACCGGTGCATCGCTCAACACGAATGCACCGGACGTCTTATCTTTTAGGCCACAACGACGACAAACAAGTTTTCGTATTTTTCGACATTTGATACTGATAGTCCAACCACATTGGCTTTGCTAAGCACACCGGATAGGCAGCCAGCGTTCAACTCCCGTACAGAATGAAATTCGAAAAATATTTACCATTTCGTGACATTCGCACATCAAAACAGTCATGAATACAAAGCGAAAAACAAAATGAAACCCTTTTTTTCTGTCAATCCAGTTGTCATCGGGTAACATTACGTGTTTCGCTCCGGAGCTTTTGTCAAGTCGACATGTCTGATGTGGGCTTTGAGATTTTTGAGCGTGACAGCGTCTGATAGCGTTTCTTTGTCGATGTTAATGTCACTGACCTAAAACTTAAGATACAGTTACGAGTAACGATTTCAAAATACCCTGTATGTACTATGGTTAGTTGATTTGGCAAACAATCTGTGGTTTTAATAAATATTAGTAGTTCAATTCAGCTTCCAATTTAAGAAAACTTATGCTATATTATAGTTAGTTATACTAACCATAGTTATCTACATATTAATACGTGAAGCAAAAACTTTGTATCCCTTTTTACGAAAATTGCGCGGACGGAGGAGTATGAAATTTTCCACACTTATAGAGAATATAGAGAAGAAGTGCACAATGCTAATTTTTTTTTTAATTATGCTTAGAAGGTACATTAAATCAATAAAGAAAACATTACACACACTACATACCATGTATTTGACGCACACACGCATGCATACTACTTATTGTCAAACTTTTGTTCTTGACGTCTGTTGTCAAATTGAGAATAGATTAAATATTGTTTGTCTTTGTTAATATTTTTATACTGTAGTCTTGGCGAAATTTGTGATTATAGAAGTATAAAATAAAATCATAATAGTGTACAAACTTACAATTCCAATTAATTAATTATAGTCGAATTTCAACTACTGCGGGACCTCTAGTCTATACTAATATATAAATCTACAATGGTTTTACGGATGTTCCGTTACAACTACTGAACTATGCATCCGATTGACTTGAAACTTGGTATCCATGTAGAAAATACGTGTACTTAATGGATAGGCTAATATTTATATGAGTGTTGGACTCCCTACACCAATTGCGGGGGCGTTAATAATGAGGATCTTTGTGGGGGTGAGAAATAATAATGTTAATTTTAAATGCCCAGCGAAGCGGACGGGTACAGCTAGTAGTATCTAATTGTAGTTTGACGGTAACAAGAAAAACGTAAGCCTTTGTTATTTTCTCCTTGCTTCTCGTTGCAACACAACAACAGATTTCTGTTAACAATATTTTTTGTATAGGGAGCTCTATCATTTTCTTGTTCAAAAAATAGCACGTGATTTCTTATTAAAAAAACAAGCCTATCAAAAGAAGGCTTACATTTGTTTCAATTTCGTAGAGCTACGACGTAGTTCAAGCTACGACGTAGTACTTTTCTACGACGTAGTAAGCAACTGAATGGTAGCGTTTTTGTATAATAATATAATTATTTTTAATTATCAATAGAATCGTATTTACAATTGTATTTATTTATAAAATATTTAACTGTAGACATATTTACTGGTAATAGGACCTCTTGTAAGTCCGCGCAGGTAGGTACCACCACTCGTGAAGCAGTAATGAGTTTCGGTTGGAAGGGTGGCGCAGCCGTTGTAACTATACTGAGACCTTTGAACTCGTATCTCTAGTTGGGTGGCACATTTACATTATAGCTGTCTATGGGCTCCGGTAACCACTTAACAGCAGGTAGGCTGTGAGCTCGTCAACCCATCTAAGCAATAATTTATAAAAACTTAGACTGAGAACTAATGTTTCAAGGTGTATAGCGGCATTTACGTTATTGGTTACTAAAGGCTCCGGTAACCAATTAACATCAGTTGGGCCGTGAGCTCGTCCACCCGTCTAAAGAAGTTCGAAGACTAAGTGATGTTTAATACCCTTTAATATTGTTCTGTTCTGCTCCTTAGAGCAAAACGAATGAAATTTTCACGAGAGAAACAAACATGTCTCTAGTATGCAGAGACTAATTTAATTTTATGTTCGTCGAACTCTCAGTCTGGGAACATAATTTAACTCGTCATAATAAAAGCACGCTTTGTTTTCATACACAATAGTTAGGATTTGCAAGATTTGAAACAAACTTGCGAACACGCGTCAACTGCTGTGTTACTTTGCTCAACCGACACAATAATGTAGGGATTTTAAATCGAATCATTACTTGTGATGAAAAGTGGATACTGTACGCTCGTCGTAGTGGCTGAACCCTGGAGACCCAGCCAAATCCTGCCCTAAACGAAAATTGACTCAGAGAAAGTTACTCGTGAGTTACTGGTGGACTAGTGTCAGTGTCGTTCACTACAGCTTTCTAAAATCTGGCCAACGATATCTCCCATAAATATCTATTATCAGCAACTGCAAATCATGAAGGACGAACTAGCTGCTAAACAACCGAGATTGGTCAATCGCTCTAGGCCACTGCTGTTTCACGACAACGCAAGACCACACACTTCACAACAAACAACCGATAGGTTATATGAGCTACAATTGGAACGTCTACAACATCCGCCGTACTTTCCGGACCTTGCTCCAACTGATTACCATTTTTTCCGGAATTCGGATAACTTCGCACAAGGAAAGAAATTCAACTCCGACGCGGCAGTCCAAACCGCCTTCAAAGAGTTTACTGATTCTCGCTCCCATGGCTTTTTTTAGTAAAGGGATCAATGAACTGCCAATGAAATGACAAAAGTGCTTAGATAACAACGATGCATACTTTTGTTAATTAAATACATTTTACAAAAAAGAAAATGACTTTATATTCCTCCCGTACAAAACGCCAATTTCATATGTAAGAATCTAATATTTTGTTAACTTTCGAATTTTATTTCGGTTTTGCGAAAAATACATCCCACGTCCCACCTGAGTGGTGTCCATTAATTACTGATTTCAAGAAGTACCCTAATTACCCCTTAATTTATTACTCCGAAGTGAAGTCGACCGGGAGATCGGCTTTACTAGAATAATGCGTAGTATCAGCTGTGGGCGGCGCGTGGGCGGTCTCATTCGGAAGGCGAGCGTGGGCGGACATCCAAAGCCTGTTATTGTTTAATCTTCCCAGAAAAGGGTATTCTTGATAATAAAAAAAAAGGATTAAAAAATTAATAAGTTGATTAAGTTACTAAGGAACGATTTTGCTTAATAAACATTCGATGGTCGTGACATCGTTTTTTTTATTGCTTAGATGGGTGCACGAGCTCACAGCCCACCTGGTGTTAAGTGGTTACTGGAGTCCATAGACATCTACAACGTAAATGCCGCTGCCCACCTTGAAATATGAGTTCCAAGATCTCAGTACAGTTACAACGGCTGCCCCACCCTTCAAACCGAAACGCATTCTTGCTTTACGGCAGAAATAAGCAGGGATGTGATACCTACCCGCGCGGACTCACAAGAGTCCCTGCCACCAGTAAAAAATATATTATACCCAATAAGTGAAAAATAGTACAAAAGAATACTGTAAATTTAAGTCTTTATACACATACACGTTACA